GATACATAGAGGTACAGCGGGCTTCGGGATTTGGAGGCCAGGTTCCTTGGTTTAGGATTGAGGGCTTACGTTGAAACTTAGAGTCCGCAATTAGGGATAGAGGGCTTGGGAATTTAGAAGTTTCTAGGATCAGAATGTTTAAGGTTTGGGGCTGCCAAATTCAGGTGGCTCAAGGAAACTCTAAACCCTAGACGCTAAACCCTGAACCCTAAACCCTAGACCCTAGTAGAGGTCTTGGGGCTCAGGGCTTGGACCTGTGAGGGGTCATGGGCTTACGCGGGGTTTAAGGTTTAGGAGTTTAGGGGTTAGGGGCTTAGGGGTTGAGGGTGTAGGGCTTTAGGGGTTTAGGGTTTAGGGGTTTAGGGGTTTAGGGTTTCGGGTTTTGGGGTTAAGGATACTTGGATTAAGAGATTTCACTGACTTGAATACAGATGGCTTGAACTCTATAATACTCGCAATAGTAACAATAGTAGCAATAATAAGAAACGTGACAGTAGTAACAATAGTAAACGGGCAATAATAGCTATAGTAGTTATAATACTTGTCATAGTAGCAATAATACTAAACTCCCACTCCGCCAAAACCCAAAGCCCCTCAGCGGGTCCGACGACCCAGCGTTCAGGTAGAAGCCGACTGCGCTAGCCGAGCAGTAGCTGTGGCCAAAGATCTGAAGGGTCTGGGGTTCAAGAATTGTGAGAGATTTGGGGGGGGGGTTCCCAAATTTAGGTGTATATGGCTCAATTTTTTGGGGGGCCCCCAATAATAAGGGTTTAGTATTTTGGTGTCTACATTGGGGTCTCCCTATTACGGGAAACTACAGCATGGGTATGTGTGTCTGCAAGTGCATGTACCGGATAGTGGAGAGGTAGTCTGAATCAAACAACGTGGAACTCCAAAACCCTAAACCCCATGTAAGCCATCGCTTTGGATGGGCTATAGTCTTAAAGACCCCCTACCGGTCTTTGAAAGAAATTTGTACAAAGATATATTGGGGTATGGACGGGGTTTGGGGGGGTGGCATTCTGGGGTTGCGGAGCTGAGGGATTTGCGGGTTATAAAGGGGTATGAAAGGTTTACACTGGCTGGCTACTTAATTAATTGTGGGTCAAGATTAGAACTTAAGCTAGTCTGGGACTATTTCTACATCAACCAGCACTTGGGGTTGAGTAGCTGAAGTTTGGGTGAGGTCGTTGTAAAGTTTGGTCCATGAATATGAATAGGGCACAGA